TTTAAAATACCATACCCTTGGCACTAAGTTGATGGGCGCCTTCTTTTCTTTGCCCATCTGTGATAGAAGTGGAAGAACAGCGGTGAAACTATAAACCGTGCTGCACAAACACGGCGTCACTCCCCAATCCACATCAAAGACAAAAAACAAGCAAGCGGGGAGAGCGCCGCGTTACGATTGGCTCGCAGTTAAAGGAACAGTGCGTACGTTTTAACGGCATCAACTGCAGCCTGCTGATCGTCACCACGAGGAGCTGCTCTGATCAATACTCGGTATCAACGAGACTAAATCATTCATTCTTTAATGGATACTTTTAAACAGAACAGATGTTATTTATAATTCAGGCATCAATAAATACTGTCGCTAGAGCAGCAGCAGTTACATTTAGTTATTCATGTCTCGCTGGGAGCAACATGTAAAATGTCAATAAAACACTTCTGAGTGAAGTTTATGAAATAACAGTGTCGCTCTGTCCTTGTGTCCTCCTTCCTCATGTCCTCTGTCCTAATGTCCACCTCCTCTGTCCCCCTGGCTGCTTTGTCTTTGTGTAAACATGTAGCGGTGAATCAGGTCTCAGGTTTCAATGTTCACCGATGTTTAGAGGGAGTCTTACGTACAGGAACAAGCATTGTGTGTGTGTGTGTGTGTGTGTGTGTGTGTGTGTGTACAAGCTCAACAGAAAGTTCAGAGTAGATATGTGCTGCAATGTAACAAGAGGGGACATTAAAACATTGAAACGCAGTAATAAAAGCACAAGCGCCGTCGTGGCGAGTTGGTTGTGGAGTCGGTGGTGAGCGACCTCTTCCCCTCGGTCGATATAAATGACCTAAACTAAGAAAAATCCATCAGCATGGTTGTGGTTTGGGCGATTATACGCTAATGGAAACATAGGTATGAATATTATATCCATTATCTGCCAACAAAGGGCCCATAAATGTTACACACTGTTCCCTTAAGCTTCTGACACGCATTGGAATGGTTATATCGTCTCATGCCGATCACACAAACCAAATGTCTTCACCGTGTGCCTCCCAAATGAGTCTCAGCAGAGTGAGAGATGTTTGAGACTTTCGGGGATCAGCAGTAGTAGGAAGGGACACCTTTGATAGACCCCGAGGCGTCAAAGCTATTGAACAAGACGTTGAAAGAATGCAAAACGCGACGAGGAGTCTTACCCCTGCTCCGAACCCGCCAAGACCTCTTCACCTGAACGGGACGAAAACAAGAGTCAACTCTTCGCCGCCTGGTTCCTCGAGACGAGTAAGAGATTATATGGACAACTTCTGAAAAAGACTCACCCGTCTTCTCACTGGCAGCAGGTTCTTGGGACGGTGGGGCTTGTTGAATAGATACTGGGGGGGAATAAATAATTCAGCAATGAATGTTTCAGTGATTCCTCAAGTAAAACCCACATGAGGAGCTCCATGTTAATCTATAGACGTAAGGAGAGGAGTCACTCTATGGGACCAGAGGAGTCGCCCCCTGGCGGTCACTACAGAAAATGCAGCTTTCAACCAGTGACTTGGAGCCAAAGGAACAGAAATTACAGAAAGTACGGAATCACTTCCTGGTTTAAGGACTTCAGATGAAAGTTGAGTTTACCTGGGGAGGTCTGAGTGATTGCAGCCGATGCAGCAGTAGGCGGCATTGGCCGCTCCACAGCTGGGGGGTTAGGCTGAGCAGGGGGAACTCCGCTGGGGTTTGCAACTGGAGAGGATGTGGTGGCGACAGCCTCCAGAGAAGGTCCAGATCCAGCAACAATCGGAACAACAGACGGTACAGGTCTTTGTACGGGAGCAGCAGTGGAGACCAAAGTAGCAGCGACACTTGTGGAGGCGCCAGCTAGGGCGACTGCAGGAGGTTGAGGAGCTACAGCCTGGGCCTGGTTGGAGGCTGCAGCCGTCGAGGGCACTGGAGCCTGGCTGATGATCGGAGTGGGAACAGCCACTTGGCTGGCAGCTGGGGTTGGAGAGGAGGCAGTTGGCGCAGTAATGTTGTTGGAGGCAGCGGGAGCACTTGTAGGTGGAGCTATAGCTTCAATCTGGATGGCAGGAGGATGGAGGACCTGTGGTGGTACGGCTCCAGGGGGGCCCTGCCCAGTTCTTTCTACAAGACTCTGATGGGAGTCCGCTGTCGCAGAAACCACGGCGGGAGCCGGTGAAGGTTGCCCTTTTACCTGGGGAGCGGGGGGTGGCGACATGGGCTTTTTTTGAGTGGGGTTAGCAGCCCCAGGACTAGAGGAGAGAGGAGGAGAAGCCAGGTTTGCCTGGGAGGCAGATGATGCTGCAGGGCTTGGATGGGGAGACGGCTGGCGTACTGCAGGACTGAGTTTCTGAGCCGAACCTGCCTCACCTAGATTTTCTGTTTTGGGAGCCCCCTGGTTCATTTGGTGAGGGGGTGGGGGAGTACCAACTGGGACTGATGAGGGAACACTAGTGGTGATCTGGACCTGTCCAGCAGCACTCCTGGGGGGCTGAGTGCTGGCCATGTTAGCCCCAGAGGACTGGGTGGAGCTTGGGGCAGGAGCAAGGTGGATATTAGCAGTGGACACTTGGATGGGCCCCACCATGGCAACGGACTGTGAGGCCATTGTGGAATTGGGAGCCACCGATGCTCCCGGGACTTGGAAAATAGGGTTGATAAATACAGGGGCGGGGGTGATGAACTGGGAAGGGCGGGGGGCAGGGGCCTGCTGCCGGATGTCCTGAGGTCTAATGTTCTTGTTGGGGACGGCCACCATGGTTGAGGCCATTGATGCGGGTGCCTTGGGAGGAGCGGGGAGGGTGATGGGGTTAGAGGTGACAAACACAGTAATCTGATTGGGGGGAATTGCGCTAGAAGAGGCCGGGATCTGTATGACTGAGTGAACACTTGTCTCGGGTGTCGGAGCTGAGCTGGAGTTAGAACTGGTGCCGACTGTCAAGGCAGGACTGCTTTGACCCGAGGAGACTGGGTTGGGGCTTCCACTCGTGTCAGTACTGAGGGCGGGGCAGATGGCAGGCGTCGGTTTTACATTTGGACCGGGCTGATTACCGAGGCCTGGGATGAGGCTCTGGCTGAGGCTGGGGGGAGTTTGAGAGGTCACGTTGGTGCAAGGGTGCGAGCTGGAAATTGAGGCGGGATGTAAATTTGGACTGCTGGTAGGAATTGGGACAGCGGGTTGAGGTTTGGCCTCCGATGCATTTGAAGCGACAGCAGCTGACATATCTGTGCCCTGGGAATTAGTGTGGAGTGGTCTCTCTGGATCCAAAGCGGACTTGGGGCTGTCCTTTCCCATAACATCCCTGACATTAGTATTTTGTCCGGCCCGAGGAGGCATGTTTGCGATAGCAGAGTTATCCAGCAACTGGTTCAGGGAGGTTGGCGCTGCCCTGAGAGTAGGTGAGGCCTCGGAGTCCGGCACAGGCGGCGTTTGCACAGGGAGCCTATCAACTGTCCCAGCCTTCACTTCCAAGTCAGGCTTAGGCTGCTGAGGCAACGGAAAACGGGGGCTCGCCATCCTAGGAGCTGATAACTCCCTCAGAGGCTGCGGCGGCGTTTGAGGCACCTGACGCTGCTCTGCCGTAGCCATTCCCTGACTTTCCCGGATTCCCTCGGCGGCGTTCCCTTGCATCCCGTGGAAGGGGCTCTGGGTCTGCTGAGCCTCCACTGCCCCACTTACTTGTGACGGCATAGATAGCGGATTTGGGAGTGCTGAGGCCGGGCTTAGCATAGTGGTTTGCGCCTGAGAGCCGACCAACTGCTGCTGGGGCGGAGGGCAGTTGATCGCCATCTTTGTCCCCTTTTGTCTCCCTGGACTCGGGGTTGCCGACTTCCGGCTCGAGGCTGGACTCGACCTCCGGCTATTGCTGGGACTTGCCCTCTTAGCCTGCCCTCCAGGCTGCTTGTCCTGTTTACCGCCTGCACCTCCTACTCCAGAGCCAGTTGAGAACGGCTGTTGATTGTTGTTTCCGCCCACACTGCCATTGTTGCTGTTGCCTGGTAAGGTTAAGCTGGGAGGGGCCTGGCCGATGGCTTTCAGAGTTGTCGGGTTCAGACCTTGCTGATCAAATCCCCTGTTTAGGTTCGGCTGCCTGGGAGGCAGAGGAATGTTGATTTTGGGAGGAAACAGGCCTGCGATGGAGGCATTAAGCCTCTCGGGTGAAAGGTTGATCTCGGAGGGTTCGGTGCTGGGTGGGCGATTAGTTGGGGTGAGAGGATGGTGGTACGGCCTGGGGCTCGCTCTGTTGGGGGTTTTGGGCCTGGAGCTCTGGGAGGTTGTAGGTACATTGGGGAAATGAAGGCCCGGCATGGGACCCCCTTGCTGAGGCTGACTAGGTAGCTGCTGCTGGGGACTGGCTCCGGTGTGCTGGGGCATTGGGGATGGACCAGGGCCCTGCTTCATCATGTGAGCGTTGGAGCCCTGATTAGCCATCATTTGTTGGTTCCCATTTCCAGGATGCTGCAGCCCAACGTCTGGGCCTCCAGGCTGCTTCTGATGAGCAATGGCTTCTTCAGACCCAGCGCCTTGAAGACCCTGCCCTGCATCCGGATGGGACATTCTTCGTACAGCTCCTGCAAGCTAGAGTGGAGAACAAATACAAAATGTGAACTTTTTCACTCCCAAGATAATAAATGAATAATAGGGCCCTCACAGGTGATCTTGTGAGCCCTCACCTGGGGGTTCACCATCAGGGGCATGCCTCTTGCTTTGTCAGGAGACGGCGGTACCCCTCCATGTCCGGGAAGGCTGATCATTACGGGCATGTTGTTTTGCTGTGAGACTGGAAGCCTCTGGACCTCAGGCGGATTGCCCATGCCCCTAGGAGGGATCTGTCCTCCTGGAGGGATGGACATGCGGTTCTTTGCCTGCTCCTGCTGCATCTTCAACATCATCAACATTTGCTGCTGCTGTTGTTGTTGTTGCTGCTGCTGCTGCTGTTGCTGCTGCTGTTGTTGTTGTTGCTGCTGCTGTTGTTGTTGTTGTTGTTGCTGCTGTTGTTGTTGTTGTTGCTGCTGCTGCTGCTGCTGCTGCTTAGATGCAAAAGGAGGATAACCATTAAAAGAGGTGCTTTATTTAAAACTCAGTGGATTAAAATGGTATTAGAAACTGTTATGTAAAGCTTTTCTGCGGTTTGAATGCCTCGTGTAATACCTGCTGCAGCAGGTTTGATTGTTGAGGCTGCTGCTGCAGCTGGTGAGGGTGCATCTGGGGCTGGCCTTGACCCGGAGCCTGTGGCCCCGTCATCCCCTGTGGCCCTTGAGCATTCTGGAGACTCTGCATCTGCATCTGTTGAATCTGCTGCTGCTGCTGTATCTGTTGCTGTTGTTGTAATTGTTGCTGCTGTATTTGCTGCTGCTGCATTTGTTGTTGTATTTGTTGCTGCTGTTGCAATTGTTGCTGTTGTATCTGTTGCTGTTGCATGTGCTGCATTTGTTGTTGATGTTGTTGTTGATGCTGCTGCTGCTGCTGCTGCATAAATTGCATTGGTACCTGCTGTAATACTCTCTGGTCTCCAGCCTGGCCAGGGAAGCCTAGATAAGGTGAAGAGAGGTAAATACAAATCCGTGTGAGAGCAAAGGAACATTTAAAGCGCAGCGTCAGGCTGCTACGACTAAAAGAATCAGCGACTGAATGCAAGATAATCAAAAAATGATTTACCTGCAGGCCTGTTGGCAAACTCGGGGAGTTTCTGGCCAGAGTTTTCTAAACCCAAACTCTGTTCGCCACCCAGATTTGGTAGTTCGGAATCTTCCATTCCAGCAGCCGCATCGAGACCACTGAGAGAATGAACAGATTGCTGAATCAATCACTCAGTCAACGGAACACAGAAATAACTTTCTTCAACTGCCCACGATGGCAAAAACAAACCTGCAAGAAACAGAAAATTATTACCCAAGTCCCTCTACTTGCTGTGGTCCATCTCCCTCTTTGGACTTCTTTTTCCGCGCCGGTTTCTTCTTTTTGGGTTTGGCCTGATTGCCCCCACCTGCGCCCTGTTTTCCTCCTGGCCCAAACTGGCTGGCTGAGATGTCGCTCTGCAGCAGGTTGACCAGCAGCGGGCTAGTCAGAGTTACATCCTTGCTGACTGGGAAGCCTCCCGGCTGCACGCAGGCTCCCGCCATCGGCATCTGGCCTTGGAACTGTGAGTTAAAGTTCATGCCGTGCCCGGCGAAGTGGCCGTTTCCCATCTGCATGTGCTGTGGGCCCCCCATCATACCTTGCTGCTGCTGCGCCTGCATATCAGGGACCATCTGTTGGACCCCGAGGTCCCCTGTCCCACCATTAGGATCTCCCAAAGGATGGGGGTGCTGTTGAGCTGCCTGTTGTTGTTGTTGCTGCTGCTGTTGTTGCTGCTGCTGCTGTAACATGGCTTGTTGCTGTTGTTGTTTCTGCTGCTGCAACTGCTGCTGTTGCAACTGTTGTTGGATAAGAGGATGACCAGCAGGGAGCCTCAACTGTTGCCCATGCATGCCCATTGCCTGATTAGGGTTGCCGGCGATAGGAACCTGCTGGGGCTGTTGCTGGTTCATCTGTTGGTGTTGTTGCTGTAATTGGTGCTGCTGCTGCTGCTGCAACTGGTGCTGCTGCTGTTGTTGCTGCTGCTGCTGCTGTTGTTGTTGTTGTTGCTGCTGCTGCTGCTGCTGTTGTTGTTGTTGTTGTTGTTGCTGCTGCTGCTGTTGCAGCTGCTGTTGTTGGAGTTGAGCCATCTGCTGCTGCTGTTGTGGAGTCATCTGCTGGGGGGCAACCTGGCCTTGGAACTGAACCATGTTACCTGGAACGTTTGGAGCAGGGCCACGCATCATCTGGCCAGGCATGACTCCAGCTGGGATCTTGCCTCCAAATGGCTGCTTGTTGCCTTGCATCTGGTTGGCAACCATTTGTTCCATCATGGAGTTTTGTTGCTGCTGCTGCTGCATGAGCATGGCCTGGTGCCCTTGGCCTCCAACCATCTGACCCTGCCCATGCATCACCCCCTGGCCTTGCTGAGGCATCATTTGCTTGGGTGGGGTCATCCCTCCTCTCTGCCCTTGACTGAGGGGCCTTGAGAGAACAGTCTGACCTCCACCCTGGCCTTGAACCTTCTGGCTGGGGGAGGAAGACACGGGCTGGGCCTGATGCTGGAGGCCCATCATCTGGGTCTGGAGGCCCGGCTGTTGCTGGCCCATACTAGGCCCAGCGGTTGTACCGGGAGGCAGACCTGCCATGCCACTTTGTACACCCATAACATTGGGCTGGGCATGGGGTGGACCCTGCATCGAGTTGGGCGTGGAGGCCGACGGCAGAGCTCCTGTTGGGAAACAATAAATAAAGCAGAATGGTAAGAAGTTAAAATGTCCTTTGATAAGCGCAGGTTAAGCCACTGCGTGACACACAAGAGCAGTTGTTTAAAAAGGAACTGTGGGTCACATTTAGGGGCCTTCATTGTCAACAGAAAACAATATTCAGAACTATGTTTTCATGTGTGTGTAATGACCCGGGTTTAAGAATCATCTTGTTTTGTTGGCTTAGAAAAATGAATTTCTCTCTCAGTAGGGAGCAGGTCCTTTCCCATGTACGTGTTTGATTGATTATTTAGATCAATATAGATCTAATAAGACACAAAATCACGATTCATTTAAATCGTATTTATTTAACCAGAGCACCATTAGATCTACCACGAGGAACAATCCGTCAAAATGACGCTATTGTTGTTTTCATACAACTATTGTACAATCATAAATGCTTCTGCTATGAATGTTGCACTAGCAATATTTTACAAACGTACACAAGACTAGATGGAGTCGTCCTCAATGTGGTTCATACGGCCGGTAAATAGTGCAGCCCATTGACAGTGTGTTATTTTTCCACGCGCAGCAGTTCCACACTGACATGATTATATGGCGAATATGTCTGTGTGGCGCTCGCAGCAGCGGGGCAGAGAGCCCCGAACCCCTTACCCGACTACTACAACCCCCTAAACCTACGGGAAACACGGATTGTTGGGGAAACACTGTTGTTAATTATGCCAGTCGATTTAAACCACTAACTGTGGTGTTAACAAACCTCTACGCTGCTGATAGCAATTCATAGTTACTCAAACTACAGGCTACATATTTTTCATCATCAGAACTTATCAATTCATTTTAGCCATCGTGCTACAATTTCAGTGGGAAAAACAACTCTTACATGTATACTAGCAGTTATTCATGTGTAGTATAGAGAAATTATGTAGCCTCCATTATTCAGCAGTTGTGGTGGTTTTGTTTTCATTCAAAGAGCCTTTCCTAGAGATTTGCAATATAACAACAAAAGCTTATCTTTTAAATGTCAAACATGTCACCTCATTGTCATTTTCACACGGGACATTACATTTTTGTGTGCGTAAGTAAACGGGGAAACTTTTACCTGTGTGAGTCATGGCCTGATTGCCCTGAAGCTGCTGGCTGGCTCCTCCCACAGGGGTTCCTGGAGTGCTGCCACTCACCTGACCTTGGACAAAGTTTGGGTTTGGAAATCCCATTGGACGCTTCGGCATGCCTGTAATTAGTATTTGTTGATTTCGTTAAGGCAGACATCGGGGTACTTTACCATTGAACAGCACACTAAAGAGACACGAGGGCCGTTTTAGCCTGACGAGGAGAACAACCACCCACCTGGGTGAACTTGGGCCCCAGGCTGTCCGTGCTGGGGCATTCCCATGAAACCCTGCTGCATGTTACCCGGTTGCCCGAGGGCGGCTCTTCCTGGTGATCCAACGCCTTGGGGAAAACCCTGGGGGGTCGTCGGCCTCATGGGAGGAGTCCCCGGTGAACCCTGCTGGAAAGGAGAGGAAGAGGAACCAGGGGACTTGGCGGTGAGGTTGCCCTGGGGCCCAGAAGTTGGTGGAAGGGGCGGAGGGGGTCTGGGCGGTCCTGCGACACCACCGGGGCCGGTCTGCAGGCCTTTCGGCTGGGGGGCTGCAAACTGCCCCACTCCTGTCTGCTGTTGCTGCTGTAGCTGTCCAATGGCGTTGAACACCTGCCCAGCCTGCTGGCTGCCAAATGGGTAAGGGGGCGGAGGGTGGCTGGGAGTCTGGACCGTAGCAAGGGAGGGGGGACGTGGAACCATTTGGGCCTGGGGTGGGGGCTTCCTCCAGGCAGGGCTTCCTTGGGTGGCCGGTGGCTGGAGGACCCCGGAGGGCAACTGGTTCCAGCCAGGAGGCACAGCCATCTGACCCGACGGGTTGAACGGGGGTCGGGGTCCGAGCTGGGACAGCTGAGCTTGCTGCTGGGCCTGCTGCTGCTGCTGCTGCTGTTGGTGATGCTGCTGCTGCTGTAGCTGCTGCAGGGCGGCCGGGTTGAGTGGCCTCCCGCCCTGCAGAGCCTGCAGGTGATGGGCGGCCTGAGGCATTGGGCCTGGGACATGGGGACCAGCCTGTTGGTGCTGGAGTGGCTGCTGCTGCTGCTGAACTGACATACCTGCCATCATTGGATCCGTACCATCTGTTGGAGAGATGCATGCAGTTGTTTTTCTGCCCTAGTGTGTTATTGGTATTGTACCGTCTATACTGAGAGATGTTCAACATTTAACATACAAGAAATAAAGACCTGAACCTGTCTGTGATGTAGGTCTCTGAATACGAGGATGCATCTGTCCACTGCTGCCTGGTACCATCGCCTGGCCTGCTATGCCAGGTCCAGGTGGAACCATCGCCGGATTAGCCATCCTTACCCCACCTAAAGGAAATATGCACATTTAATTAGATTTGTGGAAATGAGAAAATAATTAAAACTGAATAAGGGACAGAAAACAACAGACCATGTGTAATCTATTCAGTAAACTAATACCTGGACCAGGCTGACCTGAAAAGCCAACATCCATTCTCATCTGGCCAGGTGCTCCAGTTGGACCATTCACTCGGACGTCTTGTCCCCTGTTTGGTCCCACAGCCACGTTGATGGCCCCTTCGCCTGAAACACCACACAGGGGACACGTATACGTGTTGTTTGTATGCTTTATTCTGAAGACCCACATCCTGTTTTGAAAGGACCCAGAGGTTAAAGGCTGTGTTGTTACCTTCGATCTGCACGGAGAGGATCCCCAGATCTCTGAGCTGCTGCTGGTTGTTTTGGGCCAATAGCCTGAGCCGCTCGGCAGCATCCCGAGGAATGTTGAAGGTAACCCGCACACTGTTCCACGGCTCCACGTGCTGTGGCTGGAGCCTCTCGGACGCTAAACAAAAAGGGACGAGGGGAGGATTGAAGTTGCGATTGCAGTGTAAACAAGATGAAAACATAAAATCTAGAGAGACACAATATTCTCGCTGGAACTTACATAGCCGACATAAATCAGGAAATGTACAGAGTCAGTGAATGTAAGATGACTTTTTTACGACATAATTAAATATTCACACTTTGACGTTGATGGATCAATGTCAAAAGCATTTTCATGAAAATACCAACTTTTAAACAAACTGTAATAAGCTGGGGGGAAAGAACCGAGGGTCATTTTACACATTCCCACATTTTAACGTCCATCCCGTTAGTTCCAAAGTAAATAAGAGGTTGAACTAACCCATATCGAGCATGTTCGGTATTCCGCTGAGGATGGAGTCAAGTTTCAGAGAGAAGTCCTCATCCTCCATATTCCCTCGGAAGGCAATAAACACGGCAGAAGCCTGTCCCTCTCCCCCGCTGCTTTTTTCTTCGGTGCAACTTGTGCGCTTGTTGACTTCCTCTTCTTCTGTTCCTGCGTCTCCATGGCAACTGTCAGCATCCTCCTCCCCGACACCGGAGTCCCTGTCGGAGTCATTATCCGGCTCCAGATGATCGGTCCTCTGGGACGGCGACGGTGGGGTACACCGATGCGCCATCGTCCCCCCCGCCCCCACCCTCTTACTCGGAGTGACGTTTGAACCGTTTCATGCTGATAATGGCGAGAGAATGAGAGAGAGATAAATAACCAGCGCCCCTAATAAACAATACACAAGTGGCACATAGACACGGTTTAGCTGATACAATCAGTAAATAAAGACAGCATCAGGTGAAAACACACACAAATGTCTTATTTACTCTTTAATAAACCTTACGTTACATTGTTGAATTAATGACATCACTCTCGGTAGCGGCGATGCTAAAGCTGGCTCACGTATATACACGTAACACGCATTCTAAACAGGTATGAATAACTTGTGACGTCGGAGTTAGTCTGCATTGATGTCAGAGAAATGTTACATTGGTCAAATCCGCTACCAACGACCGTTGTGCTACTGGGTTAGCTTTAGCGTTAGCACGGGCCTCGGCTAACGTAACGACATCCGACCCGACGGCAAGAACGCGAGACACCCGCTGTTCACGAGCCGCTGTGCCGATACGAACATCCCCGAAGCAATACGTTCCCATCAGTGATATGAAAGAGGGTTTCAAAAAATGAATGTCGAGGCGGTTCCTGCTGACGTCTCCGAACGTTAACCGCTAGCGTTAGCTAAGCTAGCTGCGTAGCACTGCAGCTAACTCATCACGAATGCATTGAAACATAACGCGTTAGCTTCGCGTTCAGTTGGCAGTAACCCGACGCGGGTCTCCCACTATTTCGCAAGGGAAAAGCAGACAACTTACCACATGTGTTCATTAGAAATTAAGTTGGGCCAGTCGACATCTGCTAGCCGGATTAGCTACCAAACATGAACCACAGGCACGTCAGAAGAACGTCAAGCTAGCGGGACAAAAAAAAAGAAACAGTTTCCGGTATTGCTTGTCAAAATAAAATCCCAGATAAAGCGGATTATCTTTAATCAAAACAGAACGCAGCAGTGTTTAGTTGTTAAAAACAATTCCAGCAAAATGTAAAGAATGTTTTCTATTAACTTCTAAGATTAATATATTTAATGTATCATGTCATGAAAGGGAAGTTTGGGGTCCCCTGCTGGAGCTGTTGCCCCCCGCAACCCGACCGGATAAGCTGTTGACGATGGATGGATGGATCATGTCACAATGTAATACTTTTTTATTTTAAGTAAACAAGAAAAACGTTGGTTTAACTGCATGAAAGTAAAACAACATAAGCATCAATGTTGTCTGAAATTCAACCATTCACTGTTTTCTTGACCGTGAATGTATATAAAATACAAACTTGAGTTGAATTGCTTTGATTCCTCAAAAACGTTGTGCTTATACAGCAGAATCTTTCTTGGCGTGCACGTTCACTGGAAACTAACATGAATTTAGTATTAGTTATAACCAGACATCCAAAAAGCCAGGTCAGATGCACCAAATATACTTTTGTGGAGGAACAAAAGGAAAAACATTATTTAAATTTGGGATGTGTGCAATTATTTTATTTCTTGGGTTTGGACGGTGCTGATTTCTTGATTAAAATCAGATACAGATGCAGGTGAAAACAAACATCAGGAGTGCAAACTGGAGTTTCTCTACATCGCTGGAAACAAGCATCAAGAGTCGTATTGCACTGGTGCCCAAACGGTAAGCTCATTTGATCAGTCAGCGCGGGCCGTAACGGAATAACAGTGCAGCACTTTTGGAATGCAACGCTTTAAAAAGCTTGTTCTTACTTCAAATATACGGCCTAAGATAAGTACTTCAAAAACAACAACAACAACATAACAGCCTAAAATGAGCTGATTGTTACAATGGAAAAAATAATTGATGCAGCCCAACAAATATTCATAAAAAAGCAGACAGATAACATTCAATCCATCACTGAATAAGATGATCATTCTAAAAACAATTTTTTTAAAAGCAACAAGCTTCAATGAGAAAACGTCGTGCAACAGTTAGAATTTCATAAATTATATATTTAAATACACATATCATTGGTGACCCTAACCTGTAAAAATGTTGCAGTGTTGACAGATAATTCCGTACTTTAATAAAAAAACGAGTTGTTCTGGACTTGGTCCCAAGGAGCCATTTGATTTGATCGCAGGGGTTAAAACTCAATCAGCTGCACCAAACGATATCTACAGTCACAGTTACACGGCACACAAAGAGCAGGATGGGCACCGGTGTCGTCTTGCCTTCAGTCTGGAACATCCTAGTTTAGCTGTGACTGTGCGAGGCTTCATACAGTGTTTAAATATGTTAGTACGATCGGTGGCGAGAGGCCGTGGACGGATTGACGCATGCATGTGTAGCAAATGTTCGGTATTCAATGATCATTCGTGCAAAATAAACTATTTGTTCGTCGTTAATTGCCTTTCTCCTACAATCTGAATGCAACCTCTGCGCCCCACAACTAGCCTCAACAAATGCCGTTACACTTTTTCAACTGTGTTCCCTCGCGTCCGCTGAGTGAATCCACTCCGAGGCTCTTGCGTGTTCTTCGGGTGGGCCTGACCTCAGGGAGGCGCCCCGCTCTGCGTGATGAAGGCTGGAGTTTTGAGTGGTGCCGTGAAGCGGTGGACGTACACTGTGAACACAAACTACTGCGTCGGCGCGAGGGCACAACAACGTCGCTACGTGAGCCGCTGACGGCGCGCTAGGGCACGTTGGACATGGTGAGGGCGGAGGCGTCAGCACTGCGGGGGTCTTTCACCCCGATGATGAGGTCATTGGTTCTCCGGGTGCCCTCCACTAGTGAGAGAACATCTCTCCTCTCCACCTTGTGACCTTTGGCCTGCAGCAGCTCCACGTCTTCGTCTTCAAACTCAGCTGCAGGGAAACAGAGGAAGGCTGGATATAAACTTCCCCGTTTTGTGGACTGAGGTTTTGAAGCCTTGAGTTATGCCTTTTGGCCGTCGCCATCTTATTATTTGCTATCAGAAGTGACACAGAGAGGGTGGAGCCTACAAGTACGACAAAACACTGAGTATCAAGAATACATTTTTAAATATTACTATTAACTGTCCTTAAGTACTGTTTAAAACTGTAGGAAAAAAACACGGATGACTCCCAGACCAGACGTCACCGTGGTAGAGACCTGTCAATCAGTGTGTAGCCCCGCCCCAAGCACCCCCTGCTTTATGGTCTACTTATGGTCTAATGTACACACACATGTGATCCAGCTGCAACGTAAATACTGGCACAAGAGAACTTCTGGACTCTCCGGTTGCATATTGCGTGTTTATAGCAGGAAATGAAAACTGTAAATAGTGACTCAGCTATATTTGTCTGTGGATGCATTGTCAGGGAGAACTCACAGTCCACCAGCAGCATGTTGGGCAGCAGATGCGGGTGGAGTCGTCCGTACGCCAAGCTGTCGCTCATGTTCTTACGTGAAGACAGAACGTTCATCAGCACCTGTCGGGCATCACAAAACAGAATAATACTCAATCGAATGACATCGAGCGAGTCTAGAAAAAGACGCGATGTGATTCCACACTTCAGTCCGACACTAACCTGCGTGATGCCGCTGAGAGCTTTCTCTCCGTCAGAGGATCCCACGGCCACGTAGGTGCCACACAAGCCCACGGCGGGCCTCACTGCCGTGGGCATCAGGAAGGACATGGGCCTCTTCCCAGGCTGCAGGCTGTTATGCTGGAACCAAACGCAAAAGACGTGAGGCCTGAGAGCGCCAACCGGTCCCCTATCAAGGAATCAATACTATTACTACTGGAATACAAAGAGAGAATGCAGGAGTACCGGGTTGGGCGATGAGCCCCGGGTTTTGTTTGGCCAGGAGAAATCCAGGATCTGACTGTTCAGGAGGATTCCGGAAGGAGTCACGATCCCGCTGCCGAACGGCTTGTTGAGAGAGCTGAAAACACCCACAAGTCAAGAGGACACCCACTTTTTAGGGGCAACGGTCAAAGCGAGACGCATCGATAGAAACACGTCTCCCTATCGCACGCTCGGCCTAAGCAGCCAATCCAATCAAGCAAGAGGCTTCACTTCTTTAGAATCAATTTTTCCCAGCATGTTTGCACATACAAGGAACCCAGCTTGGTGCCAGTGGGTTAGATAGAACCGACGTTCTCCGTAGTGACCACCAGGGGGCGACCTTTCTGGTCCTTTAAAGGTCTATGAGTTAATTTCTCTACTTCTCTCTTGATTTATTCCCTCACATATTCCCAACATGGTAAACATAAAACTGTTTAAACAGTTTATGGTCTCATCTCTACGTTTCCCACAAGAGATTGGGGCCTTCAACCGTCATCTGGATTTGTTCTGCACTTCAAACGAGGACGTACCTCATGACTGACACGATGTGGTCATCCGGCCCCATCACCATGACCTGGGCGGCAGCTGCGCCCGTCTCCAAGGTAAAAGATGGAGCGTAATGTCCGACGGGAAAAGCCTGAGAGTCGTTGATCATCTGGCGGAGTAGGGAGGCCTGTGATTTACTTGGAGATGGACACAACCAGGTTCAATGGTAATGCCTCATTAAATTAGGACAAATGGATATATTGGGTGTTTAAAGCGAAACAGGGATCCTTACCTCAGCATCTTGGCGACAACATCTGAGATGGAAGTGTCATACATGGGGTCTCCCAGTCCACTGGCGAGGGCAAGAGAAATCTTCAGTGCCTTGGGGGAGAAATGCAGAATCAAGTCATCAGTCACAATCATGCAGATTTCTGCCCTTTGCGCGCCGTTTGTGCAGTGTAGCAATGCAGCCGTATCACAATGTAGTGCTGTAGCTTTGTAGCAATGTAGCGTTGTAGCAGTGTAGCGCTGTAGCAGTGTAGCGCTGTAGCAGTGTAGCGTTGTAGCAGTGTAGCGTTGTAGCAGTGTAGTGTACTAGCAGTGTAGCGTTGTAGCAGTGTAGCGTTGTAGCAGTGTAGAGATGCAGTGTTGTAGCAGTGTAGCGTTGTAGCAGTGTAGCAATGCAGCATTGTATTGTTGTAGCAGTGTAGCGATGCAGCGTTGTAGCAGTGTAGCAATGCAGCATTGTATCGTTGTAGCAGTGTAGCGATGCAGCGTTGTAGCAGTGTAGTGATGCAGCGTTGTAGCAGTGTAGCGATGCAGCGTTGTAGCGTTGTAGCACTTTAGCAGTGTAGCGTTGTAGCAGCTCGTGCAGTACCTCTGCTATCCAGTGGTAGGTGCTGTTCCTGGGCACCTGGCTGGTTATGTTGTAGCCTTCCAGGATGTTGAGAGCGGCGATCAAGGCAATACCTGCATGCGGGGCCGGGGCCGCCATCACATGGTGTCCTTCAGAAACAACCAGAAAATCACAAGATTGAAAAATATTCCTTAATTCTTTTATGATCTGGATTTCAAAATGAGAACATTCATTACTGTCATTTAACTAAAAAATGAATTTAATTGAAATCTTTTCAATAAGAGTAAAAACCTTTGAAACTTTGTCGGTGATTATAAGAACGCGAGTCCTGATCATGATGCTAGAAAAGCACCCTGAGGATACTTCTTCTCAGCAATCCAGTTTACGAGCTCCTTTTAAAACCAACCACCAAATTACCATATGAAATATGAGTCACACCTCCACACAGACCTACCTGCTATCAACCACAGCCTGCTCCAACGTGATTGGTCAATATTTGGATTACAAACACACACCTGGGTGTTTCTGATACCAAAATCCTGTTGCCTGCAGATTATGGTCCCCAAGAGCATCATCGTGCTACTAGCAGAGCTTTATGATGGACAACAATCTGAGAAACAGATGCTGAAATAAACTGTCACTTTCACTCTTTTCACTGCTGACAGAAAAAAACTGTAAACCGTGGGAGTAAGAAGGAAGTACGTAAAGAAGTAGTCAATGTAGTCTATTTTTTTCAGATTTAAATTAAAGACCATTTGTGATTTCACTCCTCAAAAGTTCAACGAATATTCACCTTGATAGATGATCTCCGCCGGCTGCTGTAACACGGTGCTGTAGTTTCCAAAGTCCTCCTCTGTGAGCACTCCGCCTGCAGCCTGCACCTATAACCAATGCATGGTCTTATATGTTTATATGATTACTGAGTAAAATGTGTCGCCACTGGACTATTTTATTATATTCAACAAGCTCGCCTACTAAACGCCATAGTCAAATAAGGCCTGTTGATATTAGGACTAGATCAACACTACACGCGTTGTATTTTTGGAGAACCTTCAATCAAGCGTTGTACACAAAGAGCAGGACTTTGCTTCTCTTATCGGAGCTCATTTTGTGAAGTTCATTAAACAACTGTAAACGGAGAGGAGCGCGAAGGCAGTACGACAGGGGACGACATGTGTATTAAAGCATCGAGCCCAACCTCTTTATTATTTATGACAATGTGCTGTAACTAAGCAAACCGGTCCTTCCTGATTGAACCGCGACCTTCAATCAGGTTCCTTCCTGATTGAAACTACTCCTCTACATGCCGTGTAGAGGAGTAGTCGGGTGATGTTTTTTTTCTGTTCTGACATATTTAACTGCAGTTAAAGCCGGATCAAATTATTGATCAAATATAACCGTCACCAGTTAAGAAGCTCAAAATAAATCATTTCATCCTAACCCGGTTGGACTTAAAGACGCAAAATGATCATACGGCCTATTTTAAGATAAAGACAATCCTTCATCAGTCCCGCAGAGTGAGGTTATTGTGTGTGATGCCGTGTAAATACCCGCTTTGTTTTGAATTATTACTTCACTGCAGCAAAACACGAAAGGCTGAGTTTAAAGTGCAGCTGTGCAGCAGCTGTATGCAGCATTTATGAGCACTCAAACAGCCACAGTGGACACGTTCTTCCTTACTGCTGCTGCCATTTCCCGAGTCAGGTTCTCGCTGTAGAACTCAGACGTCCCCTTAGACGCCACCGCATCCAAGATGGCTGCTAAATCCAGACGTCTGGTGAGCAGCCCGGACGGGGGAGGCTGACCATCGGGCAGGAACAAATGCCCGAAAGCATCCGACATGTTTTGGTCCTTTGCCTTCGCCAGTGCTTCAGCTGGAGGGGGGGACAGACGGACGGACATGTGGACGGGGACAGAGGGAGGAAACGGGCCAATGAGATCAAAGCTGCCGTTTATCTGACCACGGCCGGCTGATAAAGGTGGTGCGTCATTAAACATCACGCCTACCCAAGTCATGGGTGACATTAAATCCAGTTCTGGCCACTTCGGCTGCCATGGTTACCACATCCTTCCACGGCATTCTGGGGAATTCAAAAGTCATGAGACATCCTTTGAGAAATAAAAACAACAACTCACACTTACAATCTGACCGCAGCTTTTCTCACAGAGATGTTTTGTGCCCCAAATAAAGAATATTCTAAGTGGTTATTTGGCTGTGTGGCTCACAGCTTTAACCGGATGAGGCATCGGGATCGTTAGAATAAAACACCGGAGAAGGAAACAGCACCGTGTTCTCTCTGGACACGGCTGGGTGGGTCTTTCACCGGGGACACAAAGGAACGCTGGTGCTATTTCGGTCTCAAAACAAATCACCCAGAAAGAGAAAGGAGGGAGTTCACAGCGCGAAACCGAGAACGTGACAAGGAAAGCGTGCGTTGACAGGAGGGCAGACGGCGCGGGTCACATCAGCGTACCTGCCGTAGAGCTGGTGGGCCTGGTGCAGCCCGCTGAGCATCCCTGGTACCCCCACCAGCAGGCCGGGCTGGAACACAGCAGCAGGGCCACGCGTTAACAGAAACAAACGAGGAGCGTCTTCTGCTCAGACTCAGCGGTTAGTGAGAGACACGGCAGGACGAGCGGAAGTGACACCAATGCAATGAAATAAAACACAAACGCCACTCGACAGACCCGCGTCACTAAGCCGCTCAACCGAGAATCACTTGAGGATTCTTCTCTTTTTTTCCTTTTGTTTGTTTCTAAACAACTCAAGTAATCTTAAATCCACTACGAACGATAATAATCAACTTATAAAGAGTAACTACACGGGCTTATTTAAGTCCGACGACAGATACCAGAGCTTCGTTCGTCACAGCATCCGATCCCATTATTGCTGTCAGGACTGATCAATAAATAAAAAACTTATATAAGGATCATTCTAATCAATGCACTCAGTCCGAAAAACACCCCCCTTACGTTCAGGTGGAGTTTCGTCAGCAGCATCTCCTCGCTGATGGCGGCCGGCGCCGTCTCTCTGAAGTCAATGACCCTCGTCTCGTTCCTCCGGATGTTGTGCACCAGCATCACTCCGCCCCTAAGCGCCCGGCACAGCACAGCGTGTTCAGCGGCTTGGCGTCCACACCGAGACCCTCGCCTGCGCTTTCCACCACTCACCCTCCGATTCCAGAAGTGTGAGGGTGGACGATTCCCAAACAGAGCGCCGCGGCGATGGCGGCGTCCACGCTGGAGCCCTGTCTCTCCAGGACGTCGAAGCCGAGGGACGTGCACTGGGCCACGTCGGTCACCACGGCGCCTTGGTTAAAGATCTGGCGAGAGAACAAATGTGATTATTTGAGAACAGCGGCTCCGTTCCACATAAAGTGATGCGCGCGCACGCACACGCCTACCTGGGGGGGTCCTAAGTAGATCTGCATGATGAGAGCCACCGTCACCCCCAAGGCGAAGGTGAGGCCCGCCGTGATGATGACGGTGAGCCCGTCGCGCTGGCAGGCGCAGTCCTCCGTGAAGGGGTCCGTGCGGGTCTCCCGCAGCGAGGCGATCTCGTGGCTGGCCAGGTCCGACGCCGAGGACGGGAGGCGCTGCAGGTGGGCCGACTTCAGGAACACATCGGGGTCTGAGGCGTCCCAACGAAACCAGGGAAAGGAGGCCCGGGGAGTTAATGGGAGAGAGCAAAAAAAAATCGCCGCGTTCCCTCAAAGACGGGTCTGGGTTCTCGCATCCAAGTAGCAGCTTCAAACAAAGGAAATAATTCCACCGCCGAAAACATGGAACTCGACTATCGGGACCATCTGGTTTTTGCACGGCGGAGACGCTTCCTTTCCCCTCCTGCTTGGACCACACCCATTTCCAACGTGTGACGCAGTCCTGTGACACCAAAACCAGCCGGTGGCGTTACGGGTGTGTGTGTGTGTGTGTGTGTTTGTGTTTTGTTATGATGTGTCGTTAGCTGAACCGCACCCGTTTAAAGCCAAATGTCTCAAACCACCTGTGTGCTTCTGGTAGAACAGAGCGTAACAAACACACAGAAAGCCAAACACATCCGACTCCAGCATCTATTGACGCCACAGCAGCCACGGCTGGTTAGATCCTCAGTTTGTCACCACAGCAAAGACGTGGTCCTGGAGGCTGAAGATCACCACACGGAAGGTCCGAGTCCTTTTTCTGTCAATCACCCGACTGTAACACCGTTACTCTGTTTGTTTGCTTGGTTTCAATCTTTAGTTCAGTTGGTTTGGTTAATTGAATATGATAATGTCTTTGTCTATATTAAGGATTTCTTGTTACTTCATTTATTTATTGACCTGGAGCCGAATTATTCAAACCGACCCATCTGACAGCGTCCCAGCTGTGTAAGCTGCAGACCAAGTCCAAATAAACCAATGAGGCCAGAGGTGACCCCCCCCACCTACTTCACGCCGCTGACCCGGTCCACTCACCCGTGTCCTGCTCGCTCAGCGCGTTTTCCTCGCCTTTGCGCAGCTTCAGAGTGTTGTCCCCCGGGGCGGGGGCGGGGGCGGCGGCGGCGGCGGCGTTGTCGTCCTCCGGCAGCCGGGGGAAGCTGGTGATGCTCATGTAGTCCACGGGAGAGTAGGCGCTACCCAGGGTGGTCTCCGGATTGGCACTTTTGTCCTCCGTGCGTCCGCCCGTGTGCCCCGCCGCGGTTTCAGGCGGAGGGCTTTGCATGGCTGCTGCTGCTGCTGATCCGAAGGAGGGGTGTGGAGGGTGGGGGTCCTGGGGGGGGGGGGAGGAAGAAGGGAGTCAGGACAGGACATCCATATGCAACATCTGAGAATCCCAGTGAACCCAGGCCAAGACGGTGAAGATGGTGGTGAAGATGGTGTGAAGGTGATGGTGAAGGTGATGGTGAAGGTGATGGTGAAGGTGGTGGTGAAGATGGTGGTGAAGGTGACGATGTGTGTGTGCCTGCCACCCTTAGAACACAACAAACCGCGCAGCTCGCCCGGTCAGCGGCGTCTCCTCCGACAAACACCTAAAGGTGCGCGCGCGCTATCGACACCGTGTATTAAATAATGTCCCGCTGGAAACACACGTTGACACGCGACGGACGCGTCTGTGGCGCAGAAGATCCGACGTTGTACACCGAAAATAAACGCGTCAATTACCGTTTCGACGAGCCGCGGAGACGCTCACGTCCCACAGCTAAACACCCCCGTCAGGTCAGCTCGCCTCCTCCTCCGCGGGGGGGGGTCGGACGTCGCGTTATTTCTGGCGACGTTGGCGACGAGGTGCGCGCGCGGCCCCCTCACCGAGGGTCCCCGAGGGCCGAAGTCGGCCTCGCGTTGCGGCTCGGCGAAAACGGGCGACGACGCGTCTGTCGTCGTCGCGGCGTAATCCGACCTGGCCGCGATTCAGATGTGATGAGCGGTGACCGCGGTCCGCGCGTTACCGTCGCAGTCGAGTCGGACGACGTCGGCGCCGGCTGCTCGTGCCCGGCGTCACACTCACTTCCCGGCGTCGGGGGCGTCGGCGCAGGGGCGCTAGATGGCGGCTCGCGTTGAATCACTGCGATCCGTTTAAGACGTGGATGAAACTCCTTCCAGGTCTCCGGAGCGGCCAGACGGGTCCCGGCAGGTCTTCCGAGTACCTGCTCCTATTACCTCCCCACCCCACCTCGGGCCCGCCCAGCTTTCCTCCTCCTCCCAACCCACCTCCACCTGCCCCCCTCTACTCGCCCCTGCGGCTCGCGCGGCCATTTGCAGTTTCACAACGTCACCGGCCGGGCCGGCGGTGCGGGTCCGAGGGGCCGCGTCTGTTGCCGTGGTTACGGCCCCCGCGGGCGCTTTATGCTAGCGCGTGAAACCCCACGCGAACAACGTGGGAGTTGAATTTGAATTTTTTAAAACGCGTTTGTTTGTCAAACGTATTTCTCCAGCTACGTTGGTCTTTGTAAAGGGAAGCAACGTTTCCGGTGTGTGACATGGACCCGCAGAGGGATTAGCATCACGGCTAGCTGAGTAGCTAACAGCCGGTAGATTAGTGAACGCGTGACGACGTGACGCTTCTTCCGGTGACATTGTTTTGAAGGCGGGACGGCGGGATACTTATGCTGTTATAAGGCACGTTTCTTATTTGGTCTGTACTTTAAAGTTAAATATAGATCCTATTTAATATTATACATTCCAACAATTTCTATATTCATCTTTAATACACATTGATGTAGTATAATGCACATATTGTCTTATTTTTTTGTGTAAACCTAATGTTTGTATACATTTCTCTTCTTAAATAGACCGTGAACTGAAACACATTCTAAAACGATGCATTGTTAAAAACTTTAAAGCTAAGCTCATCGCTCTCTTGATCACCACACCACCAGTATTTTGACAGTTAATACTCCTGATAAATATTTCCTTCTCTTACTAGCTCCAGTTTGGAATACCAGAGTAACAAGGTCCCGTCTTTTCGACTCCCGTTCCCTCGGCCTCCCGAACACGAAAATAACGACACAGGATTCAGGCGTTAACCTGAGTATTTATTGTTGTTTCTTTTTTTTCTTCCTTTTTTTGGCGGGGTACCTGTGTTTTTCTGAATGGACGCTGGAGAAAAACCCATCCATTGATTCTTGCATATAGGTCTTGCCTGTCAGCAGACGGCCGTCCGCTTTGGGGGGGATGGAAAAATCGGTACATCACAAAAACCATGCAGAAATAGTGAAAGGCACAATCACCATACTGTACACCAATTTTTTAATATATCTCTATATATATTTTTATGATGGGACGGGTTTACTAATATAAAAGTGACAGGGGAGAAAACCAGATGTGTTTTTTAAGCTGCCATCACTTTAGGAGACGACATAGAACATATTTAACTCCCCACATTCAGCGCCTCGTATTTGCTTAACACGACTAAATGGAAACATACAAGCATATTCTATCGTGTTGTGTTAGGATACATTTCATTCTTATTGTTTTAATGTATATACGATCTCCTGCCTCGTTTCCCTGTCTGTTGGATCACTTCCCCCATGAAACCACAAAATCACACAACCGACTCACAACACGTTTCCTTTGTTTACATGACAGTTGTGAGAAAGGAAAGGAGGAAATAAAACGGAGGCAAACAGGACCTCTTTGTGGCGGTCTTTACATTTTGTGCGTGCACACACACATTGAGACACACACACACGCACACACACACACACACATTCAGTTGTGACCTCTCAGTATCGGCCTGTTTTCACACTATGTCTGATTTCACAACCCTAATACAAATATCACAGACAAACAGTTAGTGAAAGCTTGTGAGTGAGGAAGTCCAAAGAAAAGCGGTTGTTTCTGTGTATATGTGTGTGTATATGTGTGCGTATATGTGTGTGTGTGTGTGTGTGTGACTTGATTCATCTCCTGCACAATTCAGAGAAATCAACAGGACACGTAAAAGCCACCTTCAAACAGAATAAAAGATAATATTCATAACTATATAATAAATTAACAGATATTAAAGGGGACAGTTCACTCCAGATCAAAATAAAATACCCTCACCTGTAGTGCTATTATATATATATATATATATATATTTAAATGAATTATAGCGTTTTCTAGGGGAAGACCAAAAGTCGCTTTGCTTGTGGTTAAAGTGCAAAACAAATTTCTCTCTCCATAATAATGACATTAAACGGCTCCAAACAAGGTCTGTGAATTATCTTCTGTTACAAGATCACAATTTCACAAAAGAAACCTTTAGATTGAAAAAATAGGACTACAGGTAAGAGGAAACATGTATATTTCTGGTCAACTGTCCCTTTGATTAAACAGATGTTGAATAGAACAGAGTACATTGTTGTTGGCAGGAAAGAAACTTAGTGGTACGTGAATCGAGGGAAAATAACGTGTATACAAGATGAGATATTTTCCATTTTCCAAACTATCTGCGTCAAAGCCGTCCGTTTAAAGAGCCGCGTGGCACAGACAGCTGTGCTGGGGAGAACCTCTGGAGGGCATCTCCTCTGCACAGGAGGTCTAACTGAGCGGTTCTAAAATCTTCTTTTATAATATTTACAATATGTCTTGTTGTTTTTTTAAGAGTTTATAGCGTTTAGCGCCTCAGTACATCTTCTCACATATAATTTGAATTAAAACAAAGCATCACAAAAGAAAGGAGAAGAAAAATAAAAAAACAAGCACACAGCACGCCGCTAAAACTTTGACTCACAGTGTATGACAACATGTATGACAGCGCAAACTAC